ACATTCTGCAGTTACTTTTGTGGATTGTGTGTTAGAACACTTAGCACTAGTGCTGAGTGAATAAAATCATGCACTGTTTAAAAATAATGGACGCAGCCACCATGACATCACCCCTTGGTTTGTGGACTCCCAATTTGAAATGATTTTTTTGGCCATTGCCATCTTTGATTTTTGGAGTCAGAAGTGACCGTATTTGGATGAGAGGGTGAAGCTAACCCGTGGAGCGTGAAGCTACACCCTAAGGCTAGCTGCTTGCTTGGTAGCATGGTGCATTTACAGCTATGGTTAACTGTGCTAATGCTAATTTTTACTACCGAAAAGCAGTCTTGAAACCATTAAAAACAAAATGTACTTACTAGGGGTGGGAATCACCACAGGATCCACAATATGATATTATCACGATACAGCGTTATTGTGATTTTAAATATGGTGTGATATGCTGAGTATTGCAATAAAATATACTACAACTTATTACCTTTTTTCACCTGTAAATTATGTCCTCAAAGGAAAACTTTGTCAACATCAGTTTTATCCAGTGAGGTCTGTTCATCTCACCTCAGCCATTTTTTTGCAGCTGCAAAATGTATCTATTGGACTGAAAAAGCAGTTGATTATATTATTCAAGGAGGCTACTAAAAGTTTAATTTGTATTTGCAATATAATTAATTTATATAATTGTAAAAAATCGATATTTAGCACTGTGTCACGATATAATATTGCCACTAAAAATATGCTGTATAGATTTTTTTTCCCCACACCCTTAGTACTTACTGGAGAAAGTGAATATCTGACCACTTAGAGTGTATTTTAGTACATTTAGTACAGCCAAACACTGAACCAGACTTTTTTAAACCATTGAAATGTTGTTATTAACTCTCATGAACTGAAAACACTCTGAAATAGTGACAGCTATGAGTGTGCTCAGTGAATCTGGGATTATGCTGAGGTTACGTTTCCCAAACAATGTGTCGCTGTGGTAGCAACTTGCTAACAGATGACACCCACCTGTCACTTAAAGCGGCCCGCCCTTAATTATGTATAATTTAAAGCCTTAATAATATTTTAAAAAGCTAGTTACATTAAAATTCACCTCCTTTACAGTTGTCATGAACTGGGAAATAAGCCATAGAGACCAGAACTGTTTTTTGTACCAGGCTGCTTCAGATATTGTCACATTCTTTTTTTAAATGTTTGGGCACCTGAATAATTTATATTTAATATTGTGTTGAATGTAAAACAAATAAATGGAAAGTAATGAATATCTGGCCCTGACATATGCACAGATGGGAGACCTAAAATTAATTATTTATGTCCTGATCATATACATGATAAGTGGGTCATTTTAATTGTACAGTACACACACACACACACACGCATACACACACACACACACACACACAACCTGGCTTTTCCCCAAAGGTCTATTTGAACGACCCATAGCAATGTGGTCGAGTTTTACAGAGATGAGATAGCTCCCTGTGTGCATCGATCGAGGGCCATGTATCAAAACCTGTCGGCTCCTCTGTGTGGGAGGCTGGGTTGTTTATGGGCTCCAGAACACAAGAGCACCGGGGGAATCAATCTGTCTGCTACTGGAGCGAGGCCAGGGCCCACAGCAAGAGCACAGCCCGAGGCCAAGGATGTCCACTACTGGGTTAGAAAGCAAGGCTCCATTGTTCCCATCCAGCTCCATGATTAATGGCTGTCTTTGGTCTGAACCTGAGTCAGGCTGGTAATCATGAGAGCAGAGACACATGGGACAAGTCCATTAGAAGCAATATGTCACTTTTAGAAACAAGCTCCTGAGGTGGCAGCGTTTAGATGCACACCCTGGAGGTGATGGGCCCAGACATGGGTAGCATTTTCAGATGGAGAAGATCAGCAATATTAATGCCTGAGGCAAAGACAAGGAATTCTTACAGTGGGCAGTAACACAGTGGACTATGAGGTGGAGTAGGGGCATTGATCAAAAGAATTTAGGACCTTCTGTTGCCTTAAGTAAACTATTTTACAACTTTGGCTTGGCAACTTGTTAGCTTTTCGTATTGTTGGTGGAGAAATAAGAATATTTTTGTGCTATTTAAACAGCTGTTGCCTCAATGTGCCTTAAGACCCGTCCTGCTCCTTCATTTATATATATCCACTGTAATGTATTTTCAGTGTCTGTGATGCCGTTACCTCCATAGATCATTCTAAACTGGCTTATCTTCCCGTGGAGTGATGTAAAACTGCTGTGAAGAAAGTGTGACATGGAATTTAAGCAGACTTTCACTTGATGGATTGTAACACTTTAGCACATTTTAAACAGCCAGCTGGCCCGTGTTATAATTGCTAACAAGGCCAGAGAGATTAAGCGTGTCAGGAGGGCACACACCATGGGGGGAGACAGGATGGAAGGTGGACGTGTTGATGGACTGCATACCCCTTTCTTTGTCTGCTTTTTCTTTCTCCTCTCCTATATAGGAGTCTGTGTTTCAGTGTCAGAGGGATTTCCCACAGTGTGATTCATGAAGTCATAATGCAATGTAATGTTAAGGTGTCAGTGCTTGTTCCACGTGCTTACCTCTTCTTTTCTCCCCCCCCCTCTGCCTTTCTCTCTCTCCAGCTTGTCCACAGGGAACCTATGGGCAGGCCTGTAACAGCCTGTGTCGTTGTCAGAATGGAGGCTCGTGTGACCCTGTGACTGGGAAGTGTTTGTGCCCCCCTGGGATACAGGGCCGGCTCTGCGAGGATGGTTTGTATACACACATTCCTACAGACACACACAGGTGTTAATACGACAACCAGGCACTAAGGCTATGTTTACACTGCAAGCCTTAGTGCTCTATTTGAAATTATTGCTCGGATCTGATTTTTTTTTTAGACTGTTCACAATTTTTTTTAAACATGGCCAATATCATATTCCAGTGTGGAGTGGCCACAGTCCAAAAACATCACGCATAGCAAGCTGTGCCACGGAAGTAAACACAGAGGCCAGCATTTACAGTTTCATTTATAAGCTGATATGAAGTGGAAGCCAGCAAATTTATGAGCAGAAGATTAGGATGGGAATGAGGAGAAAGACAGCCATTTTTAAGTTACTGTCTTTTTAAAGAGCCATGACTGCTACTTCCATACACAGGTGTGTGTGGATGCAGAATCAGATCCAGGAGAGGTGGTATTGTGACATGAATCGCTTCACTGAAACAGATTTCATCCCAAATTTCAGGATGTCAAGGGCAACTTAAACTACATCTATCTGCGCCTCTCAACAAGATTCTCACTGCGAGTCACTCAGTGATGTAAAAATCACATGAATTTCTGATATGACTATTCAAACTAAGGTTGCATTGCCTAAAATCAGACCTGTATCTGATTAAATATTACATATGAAAATGGCCCAAATCAGAATTGAAAAACTTAGATTTCATGTGATTCGTGCTGTTCACACTGTTGTTAAAGAAAAAAAAATAAATACAGATCCAAGTGACATGAGCACAAAAATCTAATTTTAGCCACTTTTGCTTGCAATCTGAATGTAGCCTAAATTGTTGGTCCCAGACATTTTTGCTTGTGACCGCTTTAATATGAAAAAAACGAAGCTCCTTATGATTCTGTCAAAGGGTAGTATGTCTGTAACTTGTGCACAGCTGAATAGAGGAGTGATTTTATCGTCCAAAATTGTTTTATTGGAATAGTTTTCACATGTCTGAAAGGATAAAATCACAGTATTTCACAAGACAGAAGCAATTTTGTGTTTTAAATGATGCTTCATCTTATTTCTTACCTGGGTAATTATCTTGTGAGCCTCTACATTCATCCTGTAACTCATTATCACAGTGGAGCTGATTTCATACAAGTGCTGAAGTGGCTTTATTTATATTTACAGGTTGTCCAAGGGGTTATTTCGGGAGGTTCTGCAGAAGAAAGTGCAACTGTCCCAACAACGGACACTGTCATCGTCTGTATGGAGGCTGCCTGTGCTCTCCGGGACTATATGGCCGCTTTTGCCATCTGCGTGAGTACTAGAGGCTGACATCTTTTCGGGAGTCCCGCGGGTCATGTGATTCCCGTGGGATTCCCACGGGATGGGAATCAGTTTCAGCGTTCGTCACGTGATTTTTATAAAGTAGTTGAAACTAACTCCACCTCCAGCAGCTACAACAGTAACATGCTGCACTAACACTGATGCTTCAGTATTAATAATCTAATAATGTCATATATAATAATATCAGTCAGAGGAACCAAACACTACTTTTACTGCAATACTTTAACGACATTTTTCTCTCTCAGAACTGGTTCTTATGACGTGTTGTCTGACCACATCAGAAATCAAATGTGTTTATCATTCTGATCAGCTTAAAGGTGGAGTGAATGTAAAATAATTAGGCAATAAACATCAAAATATTTATTGTTTTGTTGTTTTTTTTTGATACCAGTAGGTGTTTTATGTCATGTATGTTTTTTTATTGTCTTCTTTTTTTTTAAAGATATTTTTTTGGGCATTTTTGCCTTTAATCGATAGGAAAGCTGAGTGTGAAAGGGGGAGAGAGAGAGGGGATGACATGCAGCAAAGGGCCACAGGCTGGAGTCGAACCTGGGCCGCTGCGGCAACAGCCTTATACATTGTCTTCTTTTGCACTGCGTGGGCTGAGCACCCATAAGTTCGTTGTACCCTGTACAATGACAATAAAGTCTATTCTATTCTATTCTATTCTATTCTATTCTATTCTATTCTATATTTGGGTTTATATTCAACTAAGGTAGGCATTGTGTGATCCATGTACTGTTGTTTTTTTTTAGTTTTTTTTTTTTTTTACTGTAACTGAAACACAACACGCGGGATGGGACAGGAGTCATTCTTGTGGGATTGGGACGGGATGGGATTATTTTGTGGGAGTGGGATGGGACAGGACTGAAAATCCACTCCCGTGTCACCCTCTAGTGCGACCCACTTGACCTCATGATAATGGTGATGCTGATGATTCTGCTACTTTAGACAATGAAATAATGTTGGCTAGTCATCTTTACAAGTTTAATACCATTGATTAAAAAATACATTTGGGTAATGTGAGAAATTCCAACTATTGCTGCTTTACTTTTCTTAGTCTCACAGATATTTGGCTGTGTGCAGATGTAAATTGTGGGATATGCTGTGAAAATAAGCAGTTACCAAAACCATCAATGGTGATCTTTAGGTTTTAGCATCACAGTGATTAGCATATAAATGGATAACACCTTCTCAGGTTCATGAACAGGCACTGTACATTTTGTTAGTTTTATAAACAACAAACTGCTACTACTGGATTAGAAATTATGTACAAATAATGTACACAGAGCCTCAGCTTCCTCATATTTGCTCCTCATCGCTGGCTGTACTTAGCCGTTTCGATGGTGGCACCAGGTGAGACGGCAGCTCTCTGGGCAGCCAGTGTCCCTCCAGTTTTCCCTCAATAAGGTGGACCGCCAGAGCGAACTCCTCATTGTCCAGCATGCCGTCCCCATCCACATCAGACAGCCTCCAGATGTGAGCAAGCACAGAGTTTGGCAGAAGCGTGGTCGTCATCCACTCTTTGACTTTGGTGCCGCTCAGTTTGCCGTCACTTGGACTGAGGTTGTAGAAAATCTCGTCATACTTTGGCTTGTACTTCTCCACGGCCCACTCGTCGAAATCTGCCTCGCTGCTCTCGTCGTCCCTTTTGAGTTCCTTGAAAGGATCTCTCCTGTAATGCTCAGGCTTGAATGTTCCCAAAAATTCACCATCCAGCACACCAGGGAGGGATTTCTTCCGCTGCTCTTGGTGTTGAAGCAAAGGCACCAGGTTTGCTATGTCAGTGGTCAGGAGTTTGTCCAAGGAGGCCATCAGACTTGGTTTCAGTGTCTTGAACTTTGAGAAATCTTGACCCAGAAGTTTCTCCTGAAAAAGTATGCAAATCACATGTAAGCTCACAGGATATTATACATAAATTTAGAAAATAAGCTATTCAAAAGGCAATCAAAAAGTAACGTTTGACCTGCATCTTGGTGCAGTCGGGGAAGTCTCCGGCTGGGACTCGATGCTGTTGCTGAATCTTGGTGAAAATCACAGGAAGCTGGTAAATCAGATTGTGCTTCTTGCTTTCTTTGCAAAAAATGGTTGGCATCTCTTGCTTCAGGTAGCTGATTATGTGGGCATGAGCCTGAGAGGAAGAGAGAGAAAAATCACCATATCAGTGCATCTCATTTTGAAAATATTTACCTAAAGCATGGGTTGGAATTGTAAAACAGATGGACGACATGACAGCTCCCCAAAAGTGAAGCTAAAACAAAAAAGAGTCAGTAGCGCTGCTCGCAATTGGTCGGATGGTGGGAATTTGGTACCCTGGAGATCACTACTGTGCAGACTCCAAATGATGTCATCAGCGCAAGATAGGAGTGGCCGTATCTGGAAAATTTGGCGTCATTTTTGTGTAGTGAGGGGAAGTAAAGATTCATTGTCCATCTTTATATACAGTCATTGGCTGGAATTGAACATATAAGACCTCTTACCCTGACTAAGCGTGCCCTCTTCACCAGGTCATTCAGCTTGCGTACTGCAGCATTGCGCGGCAGGTTCCTTATATCAGCCAAAAGATCCTCCTCCTCCAGCTCTATCAGCTGGTAGTGGTCACACATCTGCCTTGGCTCTGACCAGAAAGATCCGATGTAAACCCGCAGGATCTCGGGGGTTCGAAACACTTTACCCAGTGACCACATGAGGGCACCGTACACTCTCATGAGCTGCTGCGAGTCCACTCTGTCAGCCTTGTTGAGAACCACACGCAGCTTGTCCTCGTGGCCACACAGGGCCCCAAAGGCCCGAGTGAGCTCATCAGAGAACTCTAGTTTATGTGCATCAAACAGCAGGATGATTCGATCCACACGCTCTGCAAACCAGCGCAGCACTGCTGGGAAGTCGTAGCCTGGGGACAAGGAACGAAAACACAAGGTTTTCATTAAGGCTGTATGTAATGGGGCAAGCCTCAGTGCCTCAACACCTAGAGGAAAATGTAACATATCCCAGTGGCCCGCACTGGTTGCAAGCCATGTGAGTTACACCCATAGATTAATGCGTTCATAAAACAAAGCAAAGGCTGCACGGTTACTTAGTGCTCGTCTCCTCCCAACTCAGTCATATTGCTTTCATCTGCTGTGTGTCTGACTTCCAGAGTTTGAATTATGTTGGGCTGAAATATTCCTGCTTTATTGCATCAACTATGTCTCTTACCAGGAATTTAAATCTTCCTGACAGCAGCAATCCTTTCCAACTGTCTAAAATCGAATATATGGACGTAAAGACCCATTAAGTCCTCCTGACGTTGCAAAGGAAATTAGAAAAGGCATTCTGTCTCACCTCGACTCAGTTTTCTTTTAGCAGCAGTTAAGATGCCCGGTGTGTCAATAATGCTGATGCTCTCAAGGACTTTATTTGGCAGCTGAACGCACTGGAACCTGCAAAGAAAACATTAAGCATTAAAAAAAACTCCTAAAATCTTTTTGCTGATGAAGGCAAAACATTGGCAAAAATCCTCAGCTATTCCCAAGTAAAAGGAAAAAAAGGCGTACACCTCCCCTCCCCCTCTCTCTGTCTTCTTTCCTCTCTGTATATTGAGTCCTATCACCTGTTCAGGAAAGCATTCCCAAAAGGGTCGAGGTTGCGGAAGGGCTTTTTGGGATCCACTGTGAGGGCATTGCCAGGGATGATTCCCTCCACCTCTCCATACATGAGGGCAGTGAAGCAGTCGGTGGTTGGCTCTGGCCCAACTCTGCTACCAGGGAAATCTTGTTCTATGAGATACCTGAAGTCCAAACCACCATTAACAACATTATAACCCCTGAACACATCGGTACAATACATTCAGCAGAATACATGCACAAAACTGCAGTTTTAAAAGTGCACAAAGTTTGGAAAGTACCTGATAAAAGTTGTCTTTCCTGTTGAGTACTGTCCCATCACCAGGACCATTGGTTTGTTGTCAAACTCAGCGTCCTCATAGCTTGGCGAATGAAAGTGATGGAAAGAATAGTACTTCTCTATCGGCAGCAGCCTCTTAAAGTAAAGATTCTTCAGCTCCTCTGTCACCACACTGACGTCCCCCAGTGTTTTAGGGTTGCTCCTAAACCTCCGGAAAGACATAGTGATGAATTTCTGCTCTTAATTTCTCAGTGTGGAAGCTGCTCACTCTTCTAAGACCAAACTGAATGATGGAAGAATGTGAACAAGGAATATTATCAGATTCCCACAGCTGTCTGCTCCATCCTGCAGCGGGACATTGAGAGGGTGGAGAGGGTGTAACCAGAGCCTGCAGCTGCACCTAACATAAAGCCAGTGTTGAGAGGGACAGGGTGGAGCAGAGTTCAGTCTTTTCTGTTGCTGAGAAGGGAGAATCTTGGCAAAAATCATGCAGATTGTTCTGAGTGATGATGTGGCAGTGCTTCAGTTTTAAGTCTCTTACGTAACACTCTTCATCTATTTGTCCAGTGCTTATGTTGATATGATAAAGTTTACTGAAAGCTACAGACAACACAGCAAACTTTGCAGGAAATAGCTTTCCTAAACAGTCAGCCTGATCTCAAATTACAGTTGTAATTACACACTAGGATGAACGGTGCATCACCATTTTTTTATGAAGCTCTATAAATCAAGTGAAGTAGGAGGCAGTGGTCACATGACTTAAACTTGCAAGTCTAATGTTGTGATAACATGGTAGCTGGGTGTGTTTGTTTGGCTCATGCTAAAGTGTAATCTGATAGTGCAGAAGGTTTCATTTCAACATTCTTTTCTTAATGAACTGTCGACACCTTGACTTTACCAAACAAGCACTGCTATGAGAATTTGTTTTTCTTTGCTTAAACTGTAGTGCAATAATACTGTAGGTTGTGCAGCTTGTTATTCATGGGTGTGTGTATAATTCACACAGTATATTTTTGTACTATATCATACACAGTCATGAAAGACGAGAAGAAAAGAGAGAAGAGATCCTTTAAACAAGTGAAAGTAGCAATACCACAGTGTATGCGTACTATGTTACAAGTAAAACTCCTGCACTCAAAACTTTATTGAAGTAAAAATATGTAAGTATTATCAAAATTTACTTAAATGATCAATAGTAAAAGTACTCATTGTGCAAGAAAATGTTCCTTTTCAGTGTTTCACCATTATATATGAAGTTTTTGGATAGATATGACTGCGGAATTAATGTGTATGTTGCACTTTACTGCTGCAGATGTTTAAAGGGATAGTGCACCCAAAAATGATCTATCTACTCACCCATATGCCGCTGGAGGCTCAGGTGAAGTTTTAGAGTCCTCACATCACTTGCGGAGATCCAAGGGGAGAGGGGGTAGCAACAAAACTCCACCTAATGGAGGCTTACGGCGCCCCAGATTCAAACGTCCAAAAACACATAATTGAAACCACAAAATATCTCCATACTGCTCGTCCGTAGTGATCCAAGTGTCCTGAAGCCCTGACATAAAAAGTTGTTTGGAAAAACGTCATTTAAACTCTGTTTTTAGCCTCATTGTAGCCTGTAGCTCTAACTGCCTCTCTGTGCACCGTGCTCACGTATGCACGCTTGCGCAAGACCGTGAGACATGGGCACTGCGTTCATGTGTGTTCACGTGCTTTCGCTGGTCTAACGCTGCAAGCGCGCAGTGCCCAGAGAGGCAGTCAGAGCTGCAGGCTACAATGAGGCTAAAAACAGAGTTCAAATGACGTTTTTCCAAACAACTTTTTATGTCGGGGCTTCAGGACACTTGGATCACTATGGACGAGCAGTATGGAGATATTTTGTGGTTTCAATTATGTGTTTTTGGACGTTTGAATCTGGGGCGCCGTAAGCCTCCATTAGGTGGAGTTTTGTTGCTACCCCCTCTCCCCTTGGATCTCCGCAAGTGATGTGAGGACTCTAAAACTTCACCTGAGCCTCCAGCGGCATATGGGTGAGTAGATAATGGCTGAATTTTCATTTTTGGGTGCACTATCCCTTTAAGATTGTGCTAATTTAACTCCTTTATTCACTGTTGGGTAGTTTAATCTACAGTAGTGCATCACATTCCTTATGATCATATGTTTGAAGCGTTGCTATCATATAAGACCCACGTATCTCTAAAAAGTCAACTTTCCATGGTTTTTAACTGGTTTATTTAACTTAAGAAAAGGGAACATTTTCTTAAACCATAAAGAAACACTTCATCCTTCAGAAATATTTAAATCCAAAACCACCAAATTTGGAGATACATTATTTTTACTGGACAGGAAGTGTATGAAAGATTGTATTCTTAAAACCAGCAAGTAAAAATATTGTTCTGAGGAGAAAAATTGCCCCTGAGATATCATGATGTGTAAGTATAGCGTTACATAGAATGGGAATACACATGTATGTACAAGTACCTTGATTTTGTACTTAAGATACTCAAGTAAATGTACAGTAGTTACATCTAACAGCTGATCATACAAACCATCCATTGCTCTACATCAACCTAATTCATGCTTTTTCTCTGTTTTCAAACTGATCTCGTCCACCCTACAGCATGTCCCAGGTGGACGCACGGCGCAGGCTGTTCCAAGGAATGTGACTGTGTTCAAGAACATTCCACTGGCTGTGACCCCAAAACAGGGAGCTGTTTCTGTAAGGCCGCATACCACGGCCCACAGTGTGAGAAAGGTATCAGCACTCCACTAAACATCCAACTCATTTATTCAATTACAGCCTCAGCTGCAGCTTCAAATCCTAAGAAATGGTTAAGATTTGCGTTGAGTTGCAGTTTATCCACACATGTAACATTTCAAGTTAACTGCCTGACGTGTACTTCTCAACCTCAAGTTGATTTAGTTTGACTGTGTCAGGCATTTCACAGCTTCAAACATAAAGATTCAAGTGTATTTAGTTGTGCAGTAATAGGATACAGTTGGAGCTATGCTGCTTCCTTGCAATGCAGTTTTGATGTAATGGTCTGTAATGGAAAAGCAGTTTAAGTAGTTGCTGTGATTGCTCTCAGTGATCACAGAATCAAGTCAGTCGCAGGGTAAGATCTTAATAACCTTCTAAAGGAAGTTGCTTATGTAGCTTCACAATATGTTTGGGAATGTGCTTTGAGGTTGTCTGTTAATCTCTCCACGTTGGTTGTGTATGTGTTTATGTCCCACTGTAGAATGTGAGCACGGCTTCTTTGGTGCAGGCTGTGAGCAGCCATGTGACTGTCCAGGTGGAGGGTCATGTGACCCCAGGACTGGAGAGTGCAGGCCGCGATGTCCTGCAGGCCTTCATGGAGATAAATGTCAGCTGGGTGAGACAAAAGGACAAAAAGCTGCTTTAATGCAATTTAAAGGGCACTGTGCATCAGACTGTACATGTGTTAAAGGGACAGTTAATCCTGGTGTAATCAGACTATATTGTTTTATTGTGTTGATGAATATTGGAGATATCGGAACTATTTTCTTTTTGCTAAACTACACCCACCATCTGTATCACCGCACAGAAGGAAGGGTGCATCTACTCATGGATGAGAGGCTCAAGACGTAAACGTTAGTGGCGCCCTCCTCATCCGAACATTTAGGAAAGTCTAGAGGAACCACACAATTGAATCATTTTATCCCCATTCAAGTTAGCGGAGTGCTAAACTGGACGTAGCAGGCTCAGCTGGCTGAAGTCTTTAGTGCGCATCCTTTTTGGGCCCAATGATGCAAAAGCAGTGCCGATCATCCAGGTTATTTTATACACAGTTGAACGTCTTTGGTTTCATGCAACACTGAACAACTTTTATAGTTGTGAATGGGGTTCTGCCTCCGAAGCTGTATCCAGTTCTCTTTACACATCGTGGGCTGAGCTCTGATGTTAGCTAGCTCAGTGGTGCTATGTGAGCTAGCAGTAGATGCACGCTTCCTTCTGCACAGTGATACGGTTTGCTGGTGGAGTTTGGTAGAAAGAAAATAGTTCCTACATGAAACTGCTCACAACAAAGTCTGTGGATTATCCTGAGTAACCAGGTCATGCGTTCTGGAAAGAGACATTGCTGTTGAGTTTTTCAAATGTATTTTTTGGTGCTTTGAGCACCACAAGCTGAGTGCCATCTAGTTCCATTATATTGGAGAGAAAGCAGACATCTCAATGGCCGATATCTCCAACATTCGGCAACTCAAACTAAAACAATACAGACTGATAAATAGCACTACAGGTGTATTCTTGATTTGGGTATGAACTGTCCCTTTAAGGTAGAAGTGAAAAGGACTGTAAGTGTAAGGAGCACAGCAAAGTTTCAAACACCTGGCATGCATCCATAAAGCCATTTTTTTCCCTTTAAAATATTCAGACACAAAGCTGTTAATGTACAGTATGATGCCCTTGCCCTGAAAGCTTGACTCCACAGCGTCCTCATGTGGCCATGCCTTTAAAGTAAAGGACTGCTGTCTTACTTTCAGCATGTGTGTGGATATGTTAAGTGCGTGGGCTTGCACAATGACACATGTGGGTACATGTGCGGTTATTGTTTGCATACTTAATGCTTGTTGACATCAAGAAGGGCACGCACTCTCACAAAGTTTGTTATGAATGAGTTTTGGAATTTTTCACCTCTGTTAAAGTATTTTTCATCACCTATAAATCCTTTATTCTTTTATTCCTTTTCTATTCATTCTCTGCTGCCTTTGATGAATTGAATGGATTTAGTGGGTGAAATAACTTTCATTCTTGAACTCACCTGGTTAGTGCAGGTGTTCTTGTTATTACAAACTGAGCAACCAAAGATGTGAGTCTTTCTCCACAGCAGGGTGTCCTCTGGCTGTTTACTCTGCTGCATGATGGAAAGCTCAACCCCCTGTATTGTTTATTTGAAGCGATATTGAATATTGTTCGGGAGCCTTTGGTAAAAACATGACTTTGTGTCTCCGTGGAGTGGACTAAGAAAACAGAGCAGAGTTACAGTATGTCAGCACTAATGCACTGTCCAGGCCTAGGCTTGCTGAGTTTCGCAAAGCCAAATAATAAAAAAAAGGAATCCCCATTTTCTGGACCGTATTTATCTTAGGTTGCAGGCCAGGTCATGACAGGGGTAATTTACTTCAGTTACTACTGCAGAGGCTATTGGCAGAGGCTGAATAAACAAACAGAAAATGATTGAGTATTTCTAAAATTTCACTCCTGCAGTTCTCTTTTTGCAATGTTGCACAATGCTGTCTTGTGCTTTTGTGTGCTTTATGTTACAGTGAGACTGTTTTTGCTGTTTTT